CTTGGCTGCCGCTTTCCCAGAGGCTTTGCAGTTAACGGGACAGCTGAATTCTGGGGAGGCACCGATATAAGTAGTAGTGTTTTGGACTAGGCGAGAAAAGGCCGACTGCGGTTGGCGGAGGGTGCTGGCTGTGCTGCTCCGTCCCCGGCTCCGGAGCGGCCCCGCTGTGGCGCTGTGTACAGCCCTGGCGCTGCCCAGAGCAGAGCTCCCGTCCCCTGTCACAGCACAGCAGCCTTGGGGAGGAGGGGGCGCCTTCAGCCCGCAGACCTGAGCTGTCTGCAGTAGGGTGCTCAGTGCAGAGACCCTGCATCCCCTGTAGTGAGAGCTGTGCCTTGCGCTGTGGGGTGCAGGCGCCCCTGCAGCCTTGCAGTGGGGACTCTGCGCATAACCAGGTCACTCGAGGAAGGCTTTCTCCTTCACAACTTGATCAGGGCTTGTCCGCCGTGATGCACGTATCCCTGTTGCTGTCAGCAGGCTGCGTTCTGGGTTGTCAGTGCTCTGCACCACCACATCATCTGCATGGATGCGTGAAACCAAACAGGATGACAGTCATCTTTTCCCTGCAGTTTATTATATACGCTTTTAGCGTGATAGCAAGATTCATTAAAGGTTCTGTATCCACGAAATTATCACATGAGCTGCATGAGGCTTCTCCCTTATGGGTCACAAGCCAGAAGGAGCCCTCTGTGTCTGCAGCCGCTTGAGCTGCACTGAGTGGCTCTAAACACAAGGTTGCTTGAGTTGGTGTCTGCAGCATCAGTTTAGCCATGTCCCATTAACTGATCTACATCTCCCTGCTCCACTGTTCAAGCATTAATAGCTGTATTGTAGGGCTGGGTTTCAGTGCAAGAAGGAGAATATGACTAATACAGCTCTTAGACTTCTGCAGAGACCGCGGGGCTCCAGAGTCGTACTGCTTCTCAGATCAGCGTTGCTGGGTTGTCAGTGCCCATACTCGATGCTTTCTGACAGTTCTGGAGCCACTTTCCAGGCAAGGGAGCCTGTCAGGGAAGGAGCAAGTGCTTTCTCAAAGCTCCTTTTTCCAAGCACAGAAGGCAGCAGAGGAGTCTCTCCTCCAGGTATCACCATTGCTTGGTTTCAGTCAAGCTGAATTTGGGACTCTTGTGAAGCAGGGATTGACTCACAAATGGAGAGTATGCGCTTACTCTGGCTTTCTCCAATCTAGATAACCAGTTCAGGATGTCCATACTGGAGCGACTTGAGCAGATGGAGAGGAGAATGGCTGAAATGACAGGCTCCCAGCAGCACAAACAAGGAGCAGGAGGCGGGAGCAATGGGAGTGGGAACGGAGGAACGCAGGTGCAGGTATGAGCCCCGCTGTGTCCAGACACAGCGGCTTTGTGCTTTCTTACCAGAGTTTGGTTTTGAGGGGGTTGGAAAGCGTTACAGCTCTTCCTGAACAGCAGCTCTGGCCTGTGGGTCTTCAGCACAGTTGGCTTTCGCTCGCGGTTGGCGCTGTCTGGGTGCCTGTAGCTGGGCAGGCTGCCTGCCCCGGGCAGGTCGCTCCCCTCGGGTTAAACCGGGATGTGTGTGGTGTTTCAGTGCGTCTCTGGGACTGGAGCGCTGGGCAGCTGCTTTGAGAGCCGCGTGGTGGTGGTGTGCGAGAAGATGATGAGTCGTGCTTGCTGGGCCAAGTCCAAACACTTGATCCATTCAAAGACTTTCCGAGGGATGACCCTGCTCCACCTGGCCGCTGCCCAGGGCTATGCTACGCTGATCCAGACCCTCATCAAATGGCGGTAAGACCCGGCCCGTTGCGCTCTTGGGTGTCAGTGCTGGCATGGCACAAGCACGTGTGAGCTCTGCCTGGTCGGGATTCCTGGTTGTCCCTTACAAACAGACAAGCCCCCGAACTTGTTCCCATCCCCTGACCTGATGGGACCTGTCTCTTGAGAGAGCGAGTCTGACCACTGGGCACGTCACGCTCCTACAGTCTCTGTTGGGGACACCATCTGTAGCAAATGTGTGTGTCACGGGCATCCTCGTGGCCACTTCTTTGTGGTATGGTGTGCTGGGGAAAGCTGTGCTTTGATACAGCGATCCTGATTCGTTCTCTTGTTTCCTCTGCAGCACCAAACACGCAGACAGCATCGACCTGGAGCTGGAAGTTGACCCTTTGAATGTGGATCATTTCTCCTGCACGCCTCTGGTAAGAACAGAGACCAAAACTTTTGAGAGTCTGAGATCTTCAACAAGCCAAAGGCCAGGGCAGGTGGAACCAGAAGGGCCAGTTTACAGCAGCAGAGCGTTGGTTTTCCGGTTCCAACCCCTGGTCCTGTCTGCACTTCTGTATGAGGCTGCTCAGTCTCTGCAGTGATGCCAGCATCAGGAAAAAAAAGCCAAAGCCAAAAAGCACCTATTACTAAATACTAAACTGTCAAACTGTCAGCTTCATTTGGCAGATACAGGTTTCTCTGTCACAGGAGAGAATAGCGTGCGTCTAATGCTCTGTAATGGCCTTTTGTACAGACGCCAGCAGCTGGGGTTCAAGCACGGTCTGGTTTTCTGTGAGCTGGACACCAGACTGCACCGCGTTAGCAAGGACGGAGGAGGCGGGTTGCCCAGTGGGTCAGTCGTCTTTTCTTTTCCAGATGTGGGCGTGCGCCCTGGGCCACATGGATGCGGCCGTTGTGCTGTACAAGTGGGACCGCCGAGCCATTTCCATTCCTGACTCCCTCGGCAGGCTGCCGCTGGCCATCGCCCGCTCTCGGGGCCACGTGAAGCTGGCGGAGTGCTTGGAGCAGCTCCAGCGAGACGAGCAAACTCAGCTGGGGCAAAGCCCCAGGGTTCAGTGCCCCTCCAGCACAGACTCCAACACAGAGAGCTGGGTGTCCCAGTGGCACAGCGAGCTTATTGCCTCTCAGGAGCCTCAGAAGGGAGTCACTGTGATTTCCAGTACAAACACAGGTAACACAGCCCTGGGGGCGTGCGCTGCTTTGCTGACATTTGACACGTGAGGCGCTGCAGGAGCTCACCTGGGTGGCAGATGCCTCCTGTAGCCCTGGTGTCCATGCTCAGTTCTTTCCTTGTGGGCTCTGCCGTGTGCTCCATGCACTCATGTTAGTGCTGGGAGGAGGAGCGAAGGCTTGCTTTCAAAAGACGAGTGTCTTAGGAGTGGTTGAGGCAGCGTCCTCCCTGGGTGATGGTTGCTCGCTTTGCACATGCTGTCGGGTGTCAAACCTCCACCTGCGGCTCTGTGGCAGAAGCTGTTGCAGTTCCTGCAGCGATCGTGGGTTGCATGGGTTTTTTTGACCATTGATCCATTTGTTTCCAGAGCTGAGACGACCAAGATCAGAACCTTCCAGTTACTACAGTAGTGAGACTCAGAAAGATTACCCTGCACCCAAAAAACATAAGCTGAGCCCTGAATATTTTCAAGCCCGGCAAGAGAAGCTGCTTTCCACCGCGCTGAGCCTGGAACAGCCGAGCATCAGGAAGCAGAACTCCGGCTCCAAGCAATCTGCCACCGAGACAATCAGCCCCAGTGAAGGGATGAGGGACTATGGCCGGGAGCTCTCCCAGCACATCCCAGACGTTCCTGGGTACCGGGGCTCTGGCAGCCAAGCAGGCATCAAGTGGAACCCGAAAGACGTTTACATTGGTGTGTCTGCAGTGCAGGTGGCAGGGGGCCAGAAGGGGACCGCGCTGGGGAAGGAGCCCGCAGCCCATCGGCTGCGCCAGCGGGAGCAGATGAATGTGCTGATGATGGCTGACAGGGAGATGGTGGATGCAGAGCTCCTGTCCTACAGGGACAGCGCAGGGGATGAGGACTGCTTACACCACATGGATGACTTGCAGGTAAACGTCCCCGTGGCACCACGATCAGCAGCCTCGGAGAACGTGGTGGCTGCATGGAGGAGGGCAACTGAGAGAGGCTTCTGTGGAGACCTTTAGAGACTGAATTGCGCTCTGTGAAAGGAGGTGGTCATATGGTCGATGTGTGGTTTCTTTTCAAAGGGTGTCCCTTCAACCCAGACACAAAGGCTAACGGTCAGCATGTAGGGTTGTGCACTGGTGTGCACTTCAGCAGTGTATAGAACATGCAAAATTGTTTGCAGTTTTGTAAGGAAAAATGAGAAAACAGAGCCTCCTGGTCACATCAGTAAATGAGACTGAGGTGGCCCTGTAGTCCTTCGGGAACTGGGACGCAGTCCCTTCAAAGACAGGGTGACCCGAGAGAGGCAGTGCTGCGGTTGCAGACCAAGCCACTGCACTTTAAAGAGCAAGGAGGTAAAAGTGGAGGAGGGAGGAGTTAAAATCCCACCAGGCAGCAAAAGTTTGCTCTCATCTCCCCTTGCCAGGTGAACATGATGACACTTGCAGAGCACATTATTGAAGCTACGCCTGACAGGATCAAGCGGGAGAATTTTGTGCCAATGGAGTCACCGCTGGTGGAGAGACCGGAGAGTGCTGCCATGAGCACCACGATGAGCTGGCTGGCCAGTTACCTTGCTGATGTCGATCATCTGCCGAGCGCTGCACAGATACGGTCAGTGATCGCTGCGATGCTGCTCTGGGTTTTCGGGTGCTCTGAGTGCGGGGCTGCATCCACTGGTTCTTCAGCCTGCAGATGCTGCTTCTCGGTGGGACTCGATGCTGGCGCTCCAAGCCCAGCCACGCACTCGTGGTCACAGATGTGTTGTTGCCAGCACAGCTGCAAATTCATGGCAGAACAGGAGTGCATGCAGCAGGAGGGGAAAGGGGCCGCAAGGTCTGGCTCGTGACTTCTCCTCCAGAGCCAAGTCCGTACCCTGGGCTACAGGCGGGATCAGGAGCGCGGGATGGTGCTCGGACAGAGGGAGGGGAGCGCAGGTTTCTGCCTTGAGCTCAGAAATGTCGTAGTCCTTGTCTGTGATGCCAGCCCAGGTGTTTTGTGAGCCAATAATTCCTACTGTGATTGGTATTTCAGAAGTCTGTATAGTGAACCCCTGACCCCTTCTTCGAACACCAGCTTGAGCCCTGCCGGCTCACCAATCAGTGAAATAGCTTTTGAGAAACCCAGCCTTCCTTCGGCAGCAGATTGGTCTGAATTTCTGAGTGCATCCACCAGCGAGAAGGTAGAAAATGAGTTTGCACAGTTAACTCTGTCTGATCATGAGCAGAGAGAACTCTATGAAGCTGCCAAACTCGTCCAGACAGTGTTCAGGAAATACAAGGTACGTAGCCAAGATGTCCGATGTCTTCCTTGTTAGGTGTGAGAGGGTATCATTTGTTACAGAACAAAATGTGGGCAATACCTGCTCCTGGGACAAAAAATACCGTCTTTCCCAACCTTTTCAGTGGTTCTAGCCCTCGCTGATGTTTATCCAGCAAACGCTGTACTGGAGAGCACGCCGTGCCATAGTTCACCAGAACAGCACTCGGAGCATATCCTCCAAGTGCACCCAGAGATTCTGGTCAGGTGCACCAAAGATCAGCTTTGAGGGCTTGTCCCTTACATGAATTGACAGTAGAGATGTCTCCAGAAAAGCCTAGGCCTGAATTGGCCCAGGCAACAGTGGTAGGAGAGGTTCAGAAGCTGCCGTGAGCCACTGAACATCGTCTGTCCTCTTTTGGTGCACTCTGACTGCTCACTGCTTCTTTCCTTCTCCACATAGGGTCGTCCTCTCCGGGAACAGCAGGAGGTGGCTGCCGCTGTTATTCAGCGTTGCTACCGAAAATACAAACAGGTAATCAAGGGAGTGAAATGTTGTGAAACACACACGTAAGTGCCGTGAACACAGCCCCTTTGTAACGGGAATTGTCCTGCTGTTCCTCTTGTGTGCATTTCAGCATGCAGTATTGAAATACCCTGCTCAGGCAAAATGGAAAAGGGAAGAAAATTCATGTCCTCAATCTTAATTCTGGAGGGAATCCTTGAAAGGATTTTGTCTATGATGACACCTGCATTTTTGCTATGAGATAGAGGGCGATGATGTATTCCATATTGGCCTTTATGCATGCTATAGCCTGGGGAGACTATTCTCTGACTAGTTGCTTGCCAAATTTCATTGTGAAATTGAAGTTAGTTTTGCCTTTGCTGAAGGCGAAGATGAAAAATAGGTTGTTTTATTTTGCACACACCAAACTTTTAAACTGTGGGAAGTCACGCGTTGTAGCTTGATGCGAGTTGTTCCAGGACCAAGACTGTTCTCCACACTCGAGTTGGAGACGTGCTTTTAGGCTGAGTTCTCAACCCCAGAAAAAGAAGATTTTCTGTTTCCTTTTTTGGCTGGTGGTTTTGGGTTTGGTTTTTCTGTGGGGGTGTAGAGCCCACCTCCCTCTCTTCTCTGTGCCCTGCTAGACTGGCGCTGCCTGGTGCCCGCAGCGTGTTAGGTGAGGTGAAAGGCGAGGTGCCTGTGCTCTTCTGCAGCCTTCAGAGCATTGCTTTGGGAAGCCTTTCGAGCCTTAGGTGACTGCGTCACGACCCACGCTCGGCCTTCGCTGGCTGTCGTTCTGGAGTGGTGCTTCCTGTCACAGGGAGGTTTGATTCCTTCAAAAGCAGCTTGACAAACTGTTTTGTCTGGGATCCTGGAATCGCTTCTTTTTGAAAGAAGATGGTTTGGGTTTTTTTACTTTTTCATTCTTTATTTGCAGAACTAACATTAACTGTGTATTTTTCTGTTTCTCCCTAAGCTTACTTGGATAGCCTTGAAGGTAATACAAATACAAACGCTCTTTTGGAAACAATTCCCCGTGGGTCCCTAACTTTCACATTCGATATCCACCAGGAGAACCTGGCACTTAGAGAAATGTTTTCATATTATCCACTAATAAATGCCCGTGGTTGAGAAGTCACTGACAGGAGATACGCAGGGACCGCCATGCCACGGCCTATCAACGTGGTAGTACAGCTTAGGTAAAAAAAGAAGGAAGTCTCCTCTTGCAGAGGCTCTCGTGTGAGCAGTGGTGGGCTGAGGTGCGGGGAAGGTTTGGAAGCAGTTTCCAGAGATCGCTGTCACTCGGTGATCTTTACCTTGGCATTTGGGGAGCGCAGGAAAACGTTGATCCCACCCGTGCAGCCGATGTCCTGTGCATCCTGCCTGCCCGACAAAGTGTGCTGAGCATTTTTCAGTAGCTGTGCCCTGAATTCCTGAGCCCACCATCTCGTGTACACTGCTGCTCACACTGGAGGCACGACTGTCGGTGCCGGTCTGAAGTTGTTGCTGGCCAGTCCTTGTCTGTGTAAAGACGGATTTCACAGCCGAGCGATGTCGTGCTCTCATCAGGTACCAGAACCTGCAGCTCCTCTGGAGCTGCCCGGGGGCGAGGTGTGCTCCTCCTGCAGAGGAGGTGTCCTCGGGGCCCTTTTCCACCTGTAGCCCCCTCCGGCTCCGTGGCTCTGTCCAAGCGCTGCTGCGGAGCCTTGCAGGGCTGTGCTCGCTGGGGCCGGCCCTTGGGTGGCCTCTGCCCCGTCCCCTCCCCAGCCGAGGGACACAGGAGAGGGAGCAGCTGGGGCGCAGCGCTGGGCGAGCTGGGGCCCTGCTGCTCTCCCTGCCCACGCTGTGCTCCCCTGGGTGCTCCGGTGCCACCGAGGCCAGCGCAGGCGCGCGGTGGGACTGGAGCGGCCCCAGATCGCGTCAGGGTTTTGTATTTGAACCCTTCTGTTCAGGGGTTTGTAACTCAGCCACAGAAGTCCCATCTGGGCTAAAGCTTTGAAGGAGAACCATGACCAGCCCACGAGTGGACTTATTAAAATAGCTACCTTAAAACCACAATCTGGTCCATTTGTTGAAAAACGTTGAAAAGAGAACAAAAAAAAACCAAACTGACAAACAAAAAAAGGAAATTAATAATGGCAAAATATCAGTGCACTGAATGACTGCTTCAATTCCAAAAAGTGAAATTTGGTAAATGGTGGTCTGTGATGATACTGGAGGTTCTTTGCTTTGGCGTGACGTTGGGGGATGCGGTGTTTGTTTGCTTTTTGTTGTTGTTTTTTCCCACCAGTAGACAGGAAAACCCCATTGAGATGTGTTAGGACGTGCTCCTGGGCAGGGCAATGGCTGCGTCTCATCTGTCTGATAGAGCGAGCAGAAGTCAGAGCTGGTAACACACCCAGGAGCAAGAGACACACGGGTTTTGAAAGTGTTAAAACTTTCAACATAAGGGCAATAAACACAAAAGCTCTTGTAGTGGTAGCTCAGAGGTACGAGCACAACTATAACATATAGTTATTCTACATCTCGTCTTAAAAAGGACTTTTAAAAATACACATGAATGCATATGGTGTCTGTTCCGCAGCCGTCAGCGTGCGTGCTTTGAGAGGAAAAGGATGTAGAACAAAGATTTTCTTTTTAGGAGTTTGTGCCTGCTTTATTTGGAATGATGGGGCTAGAAATAATACAGAGCTAGAGCGAATTTTGGGTGTGTGTGACTGCTTGTGCAGATTTGCAAGTTCAGTGGATGCTTGTTACAGACTTGTAATGAGATTTAGTTTTGCCTGTGACTTAGGATCGATATTAGACTTAATTAACTGTTTGGGGTTTGGGTTTTGTTTGGTTTTGGGTTTTGTTTGTTTGTTTAAGTTGGAATCCTGGGTTACTCCACTTCATGTGCTTGGAATTAAATGGATATACGAGCGATCAAGACTTCTGCAGTATTGTGCTACGGCACAGAAACAAGAAATGAGCTGTTTACAAGTTAATTATCCTAGGAAGGTGGAATACCCTTGGGAACAGCAAATTCGGTTCTTTAAAAAAACAGTCTGTTTAAATTACATTTTAAAATGAAGGTACAAAAAAGTGTATTTTGGTTTTAGTTGATCGGATAGCCTTCTGGAATAATCATTCATGCTGCTCTCTTCTTACAATCACTAAGTTGGTGTATTTTGCTGCTGCTGTTGAGTCTCTGCAAGCAGCGCAGACGTGAGCACCCTGATCTCATGGGATTTCTGTGGGCGAGGGCAGCAAACGGCTCCTCCCGATGTGGTGCCAGGGTTGTCCCCTGCAGACCCACGGGACACGCACAGTGGGACACGTGCGGCTCGGTCCAGGCCCAGAACGGCCGGGCCTGGCCGTTAGCACAGGCAGAGCCTGTGAACCGGGCGTTCGGTCGAGCAGACCCCCCCCAAACCGCTCCGTGGCGGCAGAGCCGGGAGCTGGGTTTGCTCCGAACCCGGCGGTTGCTGTGTTTGCTGTCCCCCTTTTGTCTTGCAGCGCCCGGTCAGGAGTGGGTGCTCGCTTGCTTCGCGCTGTGTCTCAGTGGCACAGGAGCCCTTCGCCGTAGGAGCCTGCTTCTCGCTGGTTTTGTAGGAATGCCTCAGCTTCTCTCTGTTTCTCTCGTAGTATGCACTTTATAAAAAGATGACGCAAGCTGCCATTCTTATCCAGAGCAAATTCCGAAGTTATTATGAGCAGAAGAAATTCCAGCAGAGCCGACGAGCCGCGATGCTGATCCAGCAGTACTATCGCAGCTACAAAGAATGTGGGAAGAGGAGGCAAAACCGCCGGGCAGCCACCATCGTACAACAGAAACTCAGGTGAGCTCCTGCGATGTCAGGGCCACCGGCACCTTGACATGGATTATTTTACACTCCTAGGCTGTAATTTACAGACAAGTAACAGTGGTTGGTAGGATGATCATTCTCGAATTTAGTAGTATTCTCGCTGGTTTTGCCTACAACTCAGTGTTGGTTTTTTTGCATTTAGAAGCAGTCTGCTTACCAAGAAGCAAGATCAAGCTGCTCGCAAGATTATGCGGTTTTTACGACGCTGCCGCCACAGGTATGACGTGATCTTTTGGTGTCTGCCCTTCGTTAGAGTAGTGCAACAATACTCACGTGTGCCAGCAGTGAGTGCAGCGTGCAGGATGACAGAATCAGCTCACTGCAGAACTTTAATCAAATAGCAAAGCCCAGCTGCTTCCAAGAGGTACTGACAAAAGTGAAGTCTCTCGCTTAGGGCTGTTGCTGGAGGAGAACCGTGTTCAGCTCCACTGCTGGGGCGGTAAAGCAGCCCAGGTTGTGTCGGGCAGACACAGAATAAGGAGACTTTGAGCAGAGCAAGGCACAAGCCTTTAGAAGCTGGACTTGAGGAAGTCTGAAAAAAGCTTACTGAATCATAGCTGCAGCTGCCCAAAGCATTCCTGGTATGTGGGAAAACGAGGCAGCACCTGGGGCAGGCTGGAAATGCCTTTAGTTTGGTCACAGAATCCTCTGGTAAACTCATCAAATACAGGTTCTTTTGGATGTGGGTAGGCAGAAGGTGCCCGCAGAGCAGTTAGGCCGTGTCAGCCGCTCCGCACGCCTCGGAGCGCTGGGAGCGCAGACGTGAGCCGTCCCTGCCAGCGTGGGAACCCGCGCAGGCTCGCAAAGGGCTCGCATGCAGGCAGCGCCGCTGTGCCAGAGGCGTTGGCTTGGCTGCTTCAGTGGAGGGATCCCGTACACAATCAGGTTTCAAACTGGAACTTTGCCCAGACAAAAGCGAACTCCAGTGTTTCCGACTCTGCTCCCTCCATCCTCACCACACATGCATTTCATCCACGCAGGAGCTGGTCAGACCTGGTGCGTTTTGAAGCACATTTAGTTCAGCCCAGTGATACCTGAACAGGGAGAGCTCTGAGAGGCAGAGAGGCGTGTGATAAACTTGGTTTTAGAAACAGGCACAGTCCTTGTAGGATTTCAGCGCTGCAGTTACAGAGGTCAGTGTGGCTCATGTTGTGGAAGGACGTCTCACCTGCAGGTTCAGGGCGAAGTAGCATGTGTGGACAAGAAAGAGGGCTGTATTTTTTCCAGGCCAGTTCCAAATGCACTTGAAACAGCCGCAGTTGTTCATGAAGAAGCACAAGCAGCTTCTTGCTCTCAGCAGGGCATGTGGAAGAGACAGAAGGTTTGTTCTGAGGTGTCAGTGGGCAGCCTGTCCCGCTGGAGCAGGCAGAGGCTCTGAACTTGCGTATCCCCTTAGATCTGCTGGGCCCAGGTGGTCCCGGGGGATCCCGTGTGCCCATTTCCATGCGTGGGGGCTCTGGGGCCACCTGCCAAAGGCTCTCACAGCTGGCCCTCACACGAGCCCAGAGAGCACCTCACGGCTGCCTGTATCCTGGGTTTGCCACCGATGTCCGGGATGCACCGTGCACTTCAGCCGCGCTCAGTTGAGTCTTAGGCTGAGAGACTCCCCAGGGCTTAAATTGCCCGTGATTCCAGTGTTCTTCCGTGCCTTCAGCTCATTGCCTTCCTCTTTCTCAGCGTCTCCTGTTTCCTTGGTAGAGCCAGACTCACTTGCATCTCTGACGTTTGCAGGCGAGACCCTTCCCTTTGCCTGTGGTCAGTGTCCTCTCTTCAGCAGTGCTGGGAGATGGGCTCAGGTCTTGGGTGTTTATAGAGAGGAGATAAAACAGGTCTGGGGATACGTGGTCAGTAGGATCTCTGGCTTATGCCACACCACACAGAACTTGAGTTTATGCAGCAGTGCAGTCCTGTCCGTGTCTGCAGGCATAGGGGTTTAAAACTGTGTGAGTTAACCACTAATATTAATAATTGACACAAATTTTACCCAGGAGCATTCTGGCATTGGCAAATGCTGAGGACAAAAGCAAGGCTTATGAGGGGAGACGCACGCGCTCCCCCAGCGCAGGCCTGTCCCGGGCAGACGTCGCCTTCCTTCCTTCCCAGGCCTGGCCCTGCAGCCCCGTCTGGGGTGCGTGCGCGCTGGGTACCAGGTGGAGGAGGAGGGAATGGCTTCCCTCTCGGCTGCTCTTCAAGCTTTCCGAATTGTCTGTGTCTCAGTAGTTGCATTTATTCCTCGCTGCTTGACTTCTCTTGCTTACCTCTTTCCAAGCATAGAGTAATAAAACTTTGGATGTTAAGTAAGTTTAAAACCACCTCTATGTGGGCCTCCTAATGATACACATTGAGCCTGCTGTGCGTCCTGTGTAACGCTCACAGTGACCAGTGCTCGGGCTGGCAACCCCATGCGCTGTTTCAGGAGTGCTGCTGGTTGTAGTCCCATCAGGGACTCCTCTCAAAATGCCCCAAATTAGCACATTGCTGCCATGAGCAGGAGATTAAGAAAGCCCCAAGCCCTATAAAGAAATCCTGCAGCCATCCGAGCTCCTGAACGTCCAGGCCGTAACCACCAACATCTGACGCTGTGTAATGCTCTGTAGTGAAAAATGTTAAACCCGAGTGCCTTGTCAGCACGAGGGGTAGAAATGGCAGGTATTTTTGGAAAATCTGAGGGAGTGAGGGAGAAGGGAGCGTGCACAGGAACGTCAGAGCGAGAGGATCCTGTAGCAGATTTCTGTCAGCTGATGGAGGTGCGGGAGGAGGCTGCAAAAGCCACTTGCAGTCTGTCATAAGCTACGTGAAAAGGCAGCAAATTCTTAAAAGTTCAGAAATTCAACCTTGAAAAAATGGAACTGTTTAACTTGGGTTTTTGTCAGCAGACAGATTCTGCTGTTGGGCCAATAAACGACTCTTACTAAGAGCTTATTCTGTAGCCTTTAGATGAGACTCACTCAGGCTTTCCCCTGGCAGCCATCTGGCTGGTTGGTTTTTCCTGCTCTAAATTGATCCAGGTCTCCTTTAAGCCAGTTGTGTGAAATCCTCTGCTGGCATTCAGTGGTCATCTCCTGCTGTGCTTGTCAGCTTCTCAGTAGTGCAGACGTGATTCCTGTCAGCCTGAGGATCGAGCGCAGGCACGTTGGTCTTGTGTTTTCTGATCTGAATTTACACTTGCTGCCTGGTCAGACGGTATTTCAGAGGTTTTGAGAGCGTTAATGAGAGGTTCTGCAGGCGGAGCTGTCAGTAGTGGATGTGTAGACATTGATGAGAATCAGAAAAGAAATGTGAGCTTTGGTCGAGTGTATTCCTGGAGGAGATAACTGGAGCTCTGGTAGCTGAATGTGATCAGGTGTCATGGAGACAGAAGTGGTCATTCATCAGCAGCAGTCATTGTTACGGTCAGACATCTATCGTTTCCTTTTGACTTGGGAAAAAAGTACCTATTTATCCATCTATTGTCATATTCTCAAAACTCCGGTGAGCAACATGCATCAGCCATAACATGGTACCTACATGACTTGTCCCAGAAGTGGTGTTTGTTGGGAATGAGGAGCAGAAACCCCCTGGCCCCCCAGGAGAGCTTTGCCCATCTCCCCGTGGTGCCCACAGCTGCCCAGTGGCCCATCAAACTTGCCGTGACCCCATGGCGAGCTGAGCCGCCTCCCTGCGCTGTCCGGGGTGAGGCAGGACCAAGGGTTTGCGTTCCGTGGTTTTGGAGAGGCTGCGCCTCCTTAGCGATGCCCAGGTTCGACCCAGCTGAGCTGTGGACGTGCAGAACTCTGCATGGGTGTGGGTTTGCTGAGCTGAATCCGCACGTGGTCCACGCAGTCAGCTTCCACTGGGAAGGTAACCTCCTGTTCCCTGTTCTTTGTCCAATTCTTAGGAAAATTTTCCTCTTCTGAGAGGTATGTACACCATCGCTAGGCCGTGACGGTGATCTGCAGTGTTGTTTATGGAGTAGCATTTGGATGAGATAGGAACAGACGATGGCCGCAGGGGAAGGCAGGATGCAGCTAGAAATGCCGCAGGGATGACAGCGCTGGGTTTATTTGACTCCCTTATTCCTTCCTGCCCTCCAGCGCCCAAACGCAGGGCTGCTCTTCCCAGGGGAAGAGGAGTCGTCCGGTAGCCAGGGGCGGGGAGGGCTCTTTCTCTCCAGGCAAGCAGAAGCGTTGTCTCCTCCTCCCTGACGCGAAGTTCTTGGTAAGGTACGGTTATTGCCTTGTGTGTGCTAATAGCTCTTTGGTATTGTTTTGCAATCTGAAGCCCACTGGTGGACCATAGGCTGTACAAAAGGGTGAGTGTAGCTGCCTGCTAGCCAGTTCCTCTCTTCCATTTTAAATATTTTTGCTTTCTGCTTGCTTGCATGGGGCTGCAGCCAAAATGCGCCAGTAAGTTTCACCTCCATTAATGATACAAAACAGACTCCTGTACAAACTAACCCTACTGCAATGACTAACACTGCTGCTTTTGTAACAGGACAGAGCTCTGCAGTAGATGTTACCAATGCATGACTGTGTGAAAGGACGTGTATATTCATCATGGGCATGCTGAGGCGGCGCTGTCGGTGGGGTATTTTTTCAGTGTCCGAAATGGCCGTTAGATGATTTGGGGACTTGGCGGCGTCGCACGCACGGGTGACGCCGTCCTTTGTCACGGGGCTGCGGCAGCGCTCAGGCCAGGCCGCGGGGAGCGGCAGCGCAGGGGCAGCCTGCCCTGGAGGGGTTTTGTGTCTGCCCGAGCCAGAGCAGAGCAGAAGAGCTCCTCACGCTGCTCTGTACCCCACAGCGGGGAAGCCCCCGTGCTTATCCTAGCAGCTGGTCTTTGGTAAGTTACATCCCTGGTTGTCTTGCTAGGGCCAGCTTCTTCAACAGCTGCTGCTCCCGGCTGTTTGTGCAGAGGGAAGGAAAACAAAGCCCTGAGATGAAGATGAAGGTGCCATAACTGGGTTATAGTAAATGCCAAGTGAGCTTCTGCCAGGAGTTGTGCTCCCGTTACCGGGCTGGTTTGCAGCCCCGCAGCCGGAGCGTTCCCGGGGCAGGACCCCGTCCCGCTGCGAGCAGGGGCTGCGGGGCTCTGGAGGCACACGATGGGACAGGGCTGCTCGGTCCCGGCTCGCGCTTGAGAGGTGTGGGGGCACAGAGGTTTTGTCAAAAGCTGCAGTTGCAGGTAACACCGTTTGTGTGCTTATTGCTGTGGATTCAGCGAGGGAGGAGAGGCAGAGGGAGGGATGACCTGGGCTCCTGCTTCCACCTAACAGTCGAAAGCACAACTGAATTGTTGATCGTGGAGTTTTACTGACTTTGGGTGGCAGAGAGGGTTTTTATGACTCAGGAGCGAAAGTGTGAGTCAGGCTTAAGCCTGCGGGAGGCCTCATTCTATTTGTTCATCGTTGAGCCCAACGAAGAAGCAATAGCTAACGACATTTCTTTCCTAACTGTGACTTTTGTGCTGCCATTTTTTGTTGCATATGCTCATTTTTTTTGCCAGTGACAGTTTGGGTTCTTTACTAATGACGAATGAAGTAAGAAGTGGATGAAATGGGGACAAAGGCCCACGTGTGCCGTAACTGTTTCAGTGCTGCTGTCGTGGATGTTGCCCTGGTGAAGAGAAACGTTGCTCCTGATTGCAGACACAGCGACGCTGTGAAGTTGTTAGCTGGAAAACTAACGCTCCAGGTCTTAGCACGTATGATAGTGCGCTTTACAACTGACGTGGGTCAGTTCAGGAACGGTGTAAGGATAGCCTGCACTCTCATAACGGTGGCCTGCGTGGGTTGTTCTTGCTGACCTGATGGTTTGTGTGTAGCTAGGGCTGGTAGTTCTTGGTCTGCAGTTGGGTGTCCCATTTCAAAAGCCCCTGGAAGAAAAAGTTGGGGTTTTTTTTGAAAAATAAAATTCACTGTAAGTAACTTTTTTTAAAAAAATATTATTTTGATTAGATAAATCAACCTTCCTCCATTGTAAGGACATAAGTGTCTACCTTTATACAAAAATACCTCTTGCACTTTAATCTTGAGGGCAGGCATGGTATCCATGGACAGCAAGGAGTGCTGCAGGCAGATGGTGGTGGTGTATTCGCAACCGGCAGAGCAGGGCATGGCGGGGCAGAGCTGCGTGGAGCTGGGGCTGGCTCAGCATCGCGCCCCAGCCCCACGCAGGGAGCTCCCGTCCCCACACCAGGAGCTCCCATCCCCACACCAGGAGCTCCCCATGCAGGTCACGAGGAGCAGGATTTTCACATCGCTTTCTGTGCGTGGTGAAACTTCTGTCCAAGTGCACTTGTTATCTGTGATCATCACAGCATCTGTCATTGAAAACTAGATCCCCTCACCCTGCCCTGTTTCTTGTGGTTTGACTCAATGCTGCTCTCCGGTCTGGGGAGCGTGCGTGTAGCACCTGAAGTCAGTTCCTCTGGTAAGTACAGCTTTATTTCATGCCTGAATAACCAACATCTACCGTATTTTGTTATTCTCTGCATATCCTTCCCTCTCTTGGCATTTCAGCAACAAACCCCTTCTAGGACTTGTATTCTTTGTGTGTTTTTGATATGTGCTATGCAGCAGCCATTGCCTTGACGTACCCGGTTTCTTACATCTCTTACTAAGATTGAGAATGGGGGAAAATTTTAAGGGATTGGAAAGCCCTGTTTGCTCCAGTTCAGGACAATAAGAAAATGTGGTATTGGGGTGTGCATCACTGTACCTGCAACAAAAGTTGTCGAAGTAATTTCTTTCTTCATTTCCCTCTTGCAGGGGCTGAATGTATTTGGAGCTCATATGTGCGTGTTAAATCGCAGACCGCGTGCTCTGTGGTGTCATTCTTATTGGGCCTCTCTGTCTTTTTTGTTTTGCTGCCCCAATGAGATACCTGGAAAAAGGCAAGAGCTCCCTTTTCCTAAATGTCCCACAGGCCATTTCAGCTCTCAGAGCAGCAGGTAACTCGCCAGACAGCCTCCTCTGGCTCCCACACCCTGCCCTCTATGCTGGTCCTCAGCACTCAGATCCATCGAACATTTCCCTGGCTGGGCATCCCGGAGTAAATCCGATGAAGCAGCTTTGTGTTCCGCTTTACCCATGCAGCCATCGTTTGCTGGGAGTTCCTCCGAGCAGGCCGACTCCATTTGCTGACACGCGCCCATAGACCGGGGAGGGCGTGCGGGGAGAGGAGCTGCCGCTCGCTTCTGGGGCTGTTGCTTTCCACATCGCTTCGGCACGTGACGGCGCAGCCTCCCGCGCGGTGTCCCCATGAGTGGCGCGGTCCAGAGGGCAGCGGCT